CGGCTTACTTCTGCCTGCTAGTGGCCTGGGCAAACTCGGAATATTTTGCCACACGTATTTTCCTGTGGCTCCATTTTCCTCACAGGAAGAAGAACACAAGCATATGCCACATTCTGTCTCAACTTCACCTTTAGGAAATCCCTACAAATGGCATTAGGCGAAAACAGAAAAAAGACAACTTTAATCATGAAACTTGAAATCCGTATGCTTGAATGACAAGAAAGTTATGAGAAAATGTGTTAACATGCATCTTTTTGAAAAAACACCTTTTAAAATCAGGATTGAAGAGGATTTTTGTTTGATAGCCTCAGTTTCACTTGGGCCACAGGCTTTCCCTTTCCCGGGACCCAGGAAAAAGTACTACTAAAGAAAGACAGGAAAAGAAGGCAGATCACTGCTTATGGAGGTAACAGAGCTGAACTAGAGGAAAGAGAAGGCTTCCTTCTAGAATTACAACGAGAACCTCTACTCGAGGCATTCTAATTTTTAACCACGTTGTCCAGAGGCCACATTAGCCTGGGCTGAGGGTTGAGAGCCTAGCAGGAAGAAGGCAGAGGGCTGGATCCACCCCATTACTATTCCACCTGGAACTTCCAGAGGCTGGAAGGTTTTCGAATCATGTGACACGGCAGAGCCTTGTGTAAATAAGCTGAAAATTTTGGAGGAAGACAGTATATTTTTGTTTTTGACACAGGGTCTTGCTATGTGGTTCGGGGGAAACAATTTAAATACAATTTGATCTTAAAGTAAGACAAACAAGTAGTAGAAAAAGCCTAGAGATAAGAAATTTCCAACTTAGATAATCTCATCTATTTGAAAAGATAACGGGATAGGGCTCAAAAATATGCCTGAACCCAGGGATTTAGCGCAGTGGCACAAGCACCTGCCTGGAAAGCACAAGGTTGTGAATTTGGTTCCCAGTACCAAAAAAAAAAGGTAATTAAAAATTAACCAGGGGGCCACGGCACCAATCAGCTCTACAGGCATTAGGCTTGGGGTTTGAGACCCATGAATGGCTTTGAAATGACCTGTCGCAGCAAATAAATTCAGGACGTGCTAGGAAGGCTTTCAGCACAGTTCCTGCCTGGCATTTTCATTTCTGGGGAGACGACTACCCTCAAATTTCAGGCATTATCAGGGGAGAGGAAACCAGTGGAAGTTCCCTCAGCTTTCATTACATAAGCTAAGGCGGTCCCCAGTGACAGAAGAGCCCAGCTTTGCACAGCATCCTCAACCACCACCACACTTCCAGATCTACGAACCTCTGCCCAAACTATTCGGAAGGCTCAGAGTGACTGAGTGTAACTCAGCACTCTGGTTCTGTCAACTGGGTGCATGCCGGGGCACAAAAGTGCTACGTTTTGGCACATGTGTGAGGTCTCTAAAATATTTGCTGGAAAATGGTCTGATTTAATGACGTTTTAGTGAAGATAAGACTTTGAAACATCCAGGGAGTCCCAGTCACTGAAAATGCATTTGAAAAACATAAAGAGATCCCATTGCTACCCAGAATATTAAACTCTCTTGAGTAATTAAAGTAGTAGACAATGGCTTGCTTTATAAAACTAGATGATCACATGTGGAATTCTGTTCTTTCTTAAAATGGGCCTCCCTCAGTTTGGAAGTAGGGATGTAATTAATTATAATAACAATGTGAATGGAATCACCACTTTGTAAACGTACAATGGAGTTAGTGCTGGGTGACTGCAGTCCGGTGTCACTCTTTCTCACATACTTCCTCATGAGTTCCAATAAAAAGCCCATTAGGTAGGCACTACTATCTCAATTTCTACCCACATAGAAATTGAAACTCCAGCAGGAAACTCCTTGAGGGAGGACACCACACATAGATCTTGACTCCTGCATTCCCAGACCCTGACATTTCAGAATAGATGTTAACTCTCCACATAGCTTAAGGACATTTTTTTTCCCGGAATTTATTTGTTGATTTTGGTTTTGGTTTTGGTTTACTTTGCTTTTGCTTGGTTTTGAGACAGGTTCTCTGTGTAGCCCAAGCTGGCCTCGAACTCATGGCAATCCTCCTGCCTCAGCTTCCCGAGTGCTGGGATTACAGACATGTGCCACTATTCCAGCTTGACCAGAATTTGGCTAAAGGTCTATTATACCTAAGCACTCTGGGGAGGAGGGTTGTAAACTAAAAAAAAATGCAAGCCATGTGGTCTGCGCTATAACTACTCATCAACTCTACTTATGTAGTCCGAGACCAGCACGGACAGTCTATGACTGAATGGACATGGCTGGGTGACAATAAAATATTATTGACAAAACCAAGAAGATAGCTTTATCATTTTATAGAAATAAAGGCGAGGAGAGCCTCAAGGAAAGAGTGATTCCAGTGGCAGAACCCTGGAGTCAAGGCCCTGGGAGAACTGGCTGGTTACAGTCTATGACTGAAACTGCTTAGCTTCTCCAGGGCAAATGAAGCATCCGGACACAACTTCAAAAAGGGGCGTTGTTCTGAATAAGTATCTTTTAAACACCAGAATTCCCCCATCACCATGCAGCTTGATTGACAATTTATGATCAAAACAATTGTGAGGAAAAGTTTAGAATGAAAAGCTTGAAATGGGATACATACCTTTAAAGTAAAATTTCCCTGGGATAAACAAGAATCTTATCTCCTCTCCACACATACACACACAAAGAAAACTCGTAAAAGTTAAAAGTAGTAATTTAAAATCAAGATGTAAAAAGCTATAAATTTTGTGTCATTAACTACTTTTCCTTCACTAACACAATCTTTTAAAAAATATTTTCTTAACAAGAAATCTTTAAAATATGAGGTCAAACTCACTGTATCAAAGAAACCAATAGACATAATGTAAGAGCGATACTGTCACTGATCATTTCTAAAATATATTGTGGAACTTCCGAGAAGTTAAGCTTATGTTTAAAACACAGTGTAATTGCCTAAACATTAACCCAAAACCCTCTTGGCAAGCTTGGGGTTGAAACTTCAATTTTGTAGCATTTCTACTGGAACTTTGATAGGCAAAGGCAATAACTTTCAATTCTGTCGTTTCCCCCAGTCCTTTTATAAAATCTGGAAAGTTCTTTTAAAGTAAGAATAAAAGCAATGAAAAAAATACAAAACGATGCAAGATCACAAGTGCGAAGTATTCTAAGCACACGCTACTTGGAATTTTCATAATTCAGTCAATGATTTGCAAGCACTTTATGCTGATCCCCAAACCACGTGGAAAAACCATACAGAAATATTCCTCAGAAAAGAAGCATATCTTTAAAGGACAAAAATGATTAATTAATGATATATCTGTTTGTCTTACAGTACCATTGTCTTATGCAAATATTGAGTTGTTTCATATGATTTTCAATGAACCCTAAAGCGTAGTAATTTTTTTACCCATCACCCTTTAAAATTTCCAGATGAATAGGGTCTTAAAGAACTCTGTCCACCCTACCTTGTTTGTTCTTCTGCTTGAAACTGCTAAGTTAATTTCCCTCACTTCTGGTCATACATGAATTTTTTAAAAAACTCTCCATTAACCTTATTTTCTTCTTTCAAAAACATCATTGCCCATTAACTTAGGCTACCAAAACCTAACCCTAACCTAGGTAACTCCTGCTTTGCATGCACACACACACACACACACACACACACACACACACACACACACGCACGCACAAGTACTTGTCCTTGCCGCTTGTCTTAGGAAATTTAGAACTCTCACTAAGGAGACCAGAGGGAACCACGCTGGCAAACGTGCACAGATACCTAGTTTTACGAGTTCTGAGGAAAGGGCTCCCTTTGGCGCTACCCAGTATTTACGAGGGTTGTTTGTCAAGACAAACTAAGGAAGCCTCCTCCCCACAAATTAAAGAATCCAGTTACAATCCATTATTTCATTTCTGATTGTTTTTCTTTGTAGTAAGTGGGAAAGTGGATACTGGATATAAGTCTTCCCGGAGCTAAAAGAGCCCACATTAAAGGCTCCAATTAGCTATAAATCAGTTGTCTTTCCTACTGGGGAGAACAAGAGAGAAAAGAGAGGGGTAAGTTAGAGAAAAAAGGGAGGGGAAAGAGTTTCCAAATTAAATCCTGAAGAAGAAAAAGAGGGGGAAAAAAAAGATGCGCACTGCACGCCCCAAAGGGCTCCTGGAGGCTGCGGAGAAGAGTGCTTTAAAAGTAAGACCAAGGCAAGGCTCTCGGGCCCAGGGCCGGTCCTCTCTGCCAGGCAGACCGCGCATCCTGAGCCTCCGCAGGGGGCTGCGGGACCGGAGACCCAGCACACTGAGCCCCATTCCGCCGCCTTCCCGCGCGCCCCCCGCCCGGACGCCCGCACCGGCGCTATTGTTCCGCAAACAAAGCCCGCAGGGCCATAACCATTAACGACTTCTCATTAAAAGGCTTTCAGATATTCGTCACAGCGTGTAAAACCCCTAAGCGGGGCTCTAAATCCTTCCTAAACCGACGTGAGGAGAAAGAAAGCGCCCTGATGGCACCTTCAAACCCGAGGCAACTAAAATTCCAGCTCTGATTGTGTGTGTGTGTGTGTGTGTGTGTGTGTGTGTGCTCCTCTTTCAACCTCTCAGCCAGCGCCAATGTACTTTGCTACAAAATCTCTGTTATCTCGGAATAAGCTGGATGGAACGCACCTTTAGCCAGGCTGGGCGCGCGTCTAAGTTAAGCGGAAGAAGTTAAGCGGGAGGAATAGAAAACCAAATGAGAACTGTAAAACCTAAGCCAAAACTGTGACTTTAAACTCGCTTCTCCCCGCCACGCTGAAACGATCGCGCCCCGTATAGAATCCACACTTCTTCAGCATCCCGCGGAAGGGACATAAAGTCACAAAGGTGGCGGGCGCGGGTTCTTTTTAAAAGTGATGCAATGAGAAGGAAAGGAAAAGAAAGCCTTGCTTGCAAGACGAGGAAGTCAGAGTTCGTTGTTTGCAGACTGTTTTGGGGACGAGCGCGCACGGCTGCTGGCGCGCTGCGCGGGGCTCGAACCCGCCGCCTACCTTGGTGTACTTGAGCTCCAGGTTGGGTGTGGGCGCCGGCAGGAGGTGCAGCGCCGCCACCAGCGCCGCGGGGTCTGCGGCGCGCGCGCCGGGCGCGGCGATGTCGCTGGAGGTCATGGCGCGGCGGCGGGCGCGGGCGCGGGCGGCCGCTCTATATAGGCAGGTGCGGCCGCGCCCCCGAGTGAGCGAGCCAGCGGCTGGGCGGGCGGAGGGCACCGGGGACCGGGGGGCGGGGGCGGCGGCCGGGGCGGGGCCTCTGCGGCGCCCGCTGGTTCCGCCCGGCCCACGGTCACGGCCCGGAGCACGGCGCCAAGGTCACCTACCGCCCGGCCCGCGGTCCCGAGCAGGGACGGGCTCCGCCTGCACGCAGACCCCGGTCCCGACCGCGATCACAGCCCACGGTCCCGTTGCCGACCCGGCCCACCGTCCTGACCCGGCCCGCGGTGATGGACCCGCTCACGAGGCCGGCCGGACACGCAAATCCCAAGCCGGCCCACGGTCACGGCCTGGACCCACGGTCACAGTCCCTACCGGGCCCACGGTCCTGATCTGGCCCACGGTCAAGGGCTCGTTCACGAGGCCGAACGGGCATGCAAATCCTGACTGGCCCACGGCCCCGGCCCACGGTCACGGTCCCTGCCCTCCACTGCAGCCGCGGCGCTGCCCCTCCCCTGCACCCCTCCGCCCCGCACCCGGCGCCGAGCTCCCACGCGCGGGCCCCGGCCCCGGCCCCGTCCGCCCGAAGCTCCCTCTTCCCTCGAGGGCCGCGCCCGCGGGTGTCCCCGCCCACTGCTGCCCCCTGCCGCCAGCTCGCCGCGGGCCTGGCCCGGAGGCGGCATCGCATTGCACGTTGCTGACCCTCTTCCCCAGCCCCTTCCTGGCCTCCCGCCTCGCCACGCCCGCGCCGGCCACGCGGGAGCTCCGAGTGCAGATCTCGGGCCCAGAGAGCCCCTCACAGTGAGCTTTCAGCTGGGGAGCGCTGAGCTAAACCAGGGTTCCCACGGAAAAACCTGTAACAGGCCCTCCCTCCCTCCCTCGCGCAGAGGAGCCCGGCAGGGGCGCGCGCCACCGGGGAGTGAGGTGCTGGCGCGGGGACCACAGACAGGACCGGGGGTCGAGATCTGCCCCGGAAGGCCTTTCCAGACCACGGGGTCTGGTCCCGCGGGTCAGCGCCCTCCGCAAGCGTTGGCCCTGGCCCAGAGCTGAAACTGCCTAAGGCTGGGTGCTTAGATGCTAAACTAAGCTGGGGTGGAAATGGGCAAAAATACTGCGCTTTCCTGTTGGGTTTGTGAAAGAAAGTTCCAGGCTTTCCGAACCCAGGCGGCTGTCTGCCCAACGCAGCGGGAGAACTCAGAGGGTCTAGGGCCCTTAGCTCAAGCAATCTGAGGTCTGCAGTTCACAGGGGTTTCTTTGGCCAAAGAGGATACCTTACTAACGATAAATATTCGCGAGTTGCATTTTTATCAAAGGAAAGCGCAGAAGGCAAGAAGCAGGAGAGAAGACTGCAGATGTGACCTCTGGGGTCTGCGCCCTGCCGGAAGCGCCCTGCTCTCGAGTGGCTGCGCGCTGAGGCGGCCCCAAGCAGCAGCGCAGACGGCAGGGAGCCCGCGGCCAGGCAGCTCGCTCTGCAGTCTTGCAGGTAGCCAGCTGCTGGCTCTGCGGCTGGGACGGTCCCAGAAGACCCGGGCATTCCCCAGGAAGAGTCCAAGTCTGCGGGAAGTTGACCTTTGAGTGACACCTGAAAGAGGAAGTGAGGCTCCCAGGAGAGGGAAGGGTGCTCTGGTGGAGGTGACAGCGCTCTGGGGGACAGCAGAGGTGGTTGGAGGGAGTCGGTCAGGCCAGGTTGTCAAGGCCTGACTTCTCCTGGGAACAGAGCCGTCCCCAACACAAGACCACTGCCTCTCACACACAGAGCACCTTCTGCTCTGATCCCATCCCATCCCTGGGCTACTCCCTCCCAGGGAAGGAGCAGGACCTAGGAGTGATGCGATTATCAGCCATTATTACTGCAGAGAGAGAAAGCAGACAATTTCTTCTCCTCTGGCCAGAAAGGGAGTTAGTTAGCTCTTGATTTCTCCTCATCAGCATTTCCCAATACCTGGTCCAGTGACAGCTGGCCAGCCGGTCTGAATGGCACCCTGGTGGCTTTTGTGTGACACCAAGTGGATGACAGACCCATCCATGGGGACTGTGTCTTCTCTTTCCCTATGCCTGCCTCAGTTCCTAAAGCAGCTGGGGTGTGGTGACAGGGACCTGTCACCCCAGCACTCAGGAGCCTGAAGCAGAAGGATCTCCGTGAGTTCAAGGCCAGCCTGAACTATGCAGCCAGACCCTGTCTCAAAGTAAATAAATAAACAAATAACAGCACTATTCAATAAGAATTTCCATTGAGGACTCAGCAAAACACAGCACTGCCTGCTGCCCACTGTCAGTGGATGTGGGTTCTCTGCCCTCTGAGTGCCTGCTTCAAGCCTTGTTCCGCTTTCCCCCATCTTTTGCTGTATGCTTTTCTGTGCAAAGAGGTCTGAGAATGTTTTTCTTTACACAGTAATCCTGGTGGGTGAGGGGAGCCTGGACCCTTGCATCTCCAGTTCCAGATCAGTCTTTGCCAACACGGGCTTCGCCTCCCTAACGGTTCCCATCTGGGTCTTTGCCCCGGTTCGGTTACAAATTTTTTTCCCACTCGTACAATGTTCCTTTTCCCACCTTCCCTCACCTGTAATTATTTACTGTTGGGATACAGCGAGTCTGAAAGGTGCGCGGGGAAACCTCAGCTCCAGCCCACTCTGTTTATTTCCTTGTGAAAACAATTTATGGGGCCTGCTGGAGCCAATATCCTGGAGTTGCAGGGGAGAAAAATAAATTCTTGCCTCCTACTTCCTGGCCTGAGTAACAGCAAGCAGGGTTGTGATTTTAAAGCATCAGCTGTAGGTGAAGTTTCACTTCAGAGGGTGGAACAGTGACCTCAGAGGCTTCTTTTCAGATGTAGTTGTGGGGGGGAGGATTCGTGCAGTCAGGAACCCTGCTTTAGAGATCAGCAGGGCACTGAGCAGAGCCCACAGATCCCCACAAGGAGGACACGTTGGAGTTTTGACAAGAGCTGCACCCCTTTGAAGGGGTGCCCGGTGTGTGGAGCCCGTCTGGGCTGCAGGTGGCTGGTTGATGGCCCTCCCCTTTCCATGACTGCCTTTTTCAGCAGAATCACTTGCAGTTTAATTCATCTTCAAAAAATAAATCACCCTTATGGCGCTTCCCTCTTCCGTGTTAATTGAATTGGTTCCTGAAATGCCTCGAGTCTAATGATTTGGAAGAAGCATATTGTTTGAAATATTCTTTTAAAAAATTAGGTCCCTTAGGTTGTCTTTGGAATGATGTTAGGGCTGTCTTCAGATGTCAGGGTCTCCTAATGACCTCAGTGGGACACACCGGCCACTTTGTTTGAAATGTTTCCTGAGAATTCTTACAGGAAAGCTTAATGCAAGGTATATTGATAGAAACGGCATTTAATTTAGGAACAAAAGCTTATAAAAAGCTTTTACATTTTTTATCCAGAAATGCTTTGGGAAGTATTTTGGACCCGTTATGAAAATGTCTATAAAATAAAATCACTTATTTTTTTATTTAACGTCAATATTAACTTTTTATTGGAGATCTAAATGCTCTTTTAATTATCCTCTGCCTTCTAACCTCCAGAAGAAAATAGGCTAAGAGTATGGCATTTATGAACTATAAAAATTCTCTGGATATTATGCCCTGCCTTCCTTAAAGAGGCCTCTGGTCACTGAATCCTGGGGAGAGGGGTCACTAGTTGGTTATGACTCCAGAAATCTATATCCCAATGCATAACTCTCTCCTGTTAAAATATCCCCTCCCCGGGGGTTCCCAGGAGACTATTCTGAAATCAGGAACCGGATCTGCTTCTGCTTCAAAGTCAGAATCTGCTTGATCTGTGTTTGAAGGGCTCCAGTTTGGGCCCTTAGCTCAGCGCTCTGCCAGTGACTGCTGAGGGCTGCGGAGAAGTGGGCTCCCAGTGCCTGCCGAAAGGCACCGGCGCCCTCTGCAGCTGGCTGCGCGTCTGTGCAAGCGGACTTGGGCCACTCAATCCGTCAGTTTGGCTGAGATGTGTTTCAGCTGATGCTGGTGAGAAATCTTCAGACCAAAATCGAATCCTTTTGGAGGGATAAGAGATTCCGACAAGTTTCAGACCTCAGTTAGCTTAGGAGGAAGACTTTCACTAAGTGATACCTAGATGTGAGGAAGGGAACAGCAGTGACTGTTGGACCAGTTTGCAGTGGACAGTGCTGCCTTTCCACCCTGCAGCCCCAGTGTTCCCCAGCGAGCCACCCTCAGTGTCCCCCAGCGAGTCACACCACAGGGACACAGACCGAGAGCTGCTCACTGCCCCAAGGGAGGGCAGAGGGGTGCCTGTTAGTACAAGGATGATTCCAGAATCTCTTTATTTTCCTCTGCGGTGCAGTGTGTTAGGCTTGTTTTCCCCTCTTTTCAGGCTCCTCTTACTTTTCTCCTGTACAGAGCTCTTTGCCATTATTACCTGCCACCTGTCCTCCTGGGCCATGCACGGGGCTCCTCCCCAAGGCCTCTCACCCTTAGAAAAATGCTTGACGCACAGGGATCTTTTGTATCCAGGATTCTCAGGGAAGGTGCTTGGACCAGGAGCCATGGCTACGGTCACTGGAATCCCAGGCAAAATGGGCAATTTCTCTCCCCACTCTGACCTGCCAAGAAGGGCCACCAAAACAATGACGGGGTACTTTAGATGCCAGCAGCAGGGAGCAGAGTCTGTTTCTTTCTCCTCAGCCCCGCCGTCTACTGTGCAAGAGGCACAGGCATAGGTGCAGGCTGGGGGCAGGCTGGACACAAACATCCGCTTGGGACCTCAGCCTCAGCCAATGGGCCGGGTCAGCCTGGGTCCGGCCCCAGGCATCAGTGATGCCCTGCCCGCTATAACCAAGCCTGAGAGGTTGTGTGTGTGTGTCTTCCTCACGCCCCTTGGGGTGATGTCAGTGCCCACAGACCACAGTGGCACCCCAGGATTCGTGCAGAGCAGGCCCTGTGAGGAGGTCCCACCCTCAAAGGCACAGTGGGGTTGGAATGACAGAACCTTAATCCAGGAAGCTGCGCCCCAAGAGACCAGGG